TATTTTTATCAAAAATTGACATTTAATTTTGTCCAATTTATATTCAACTTTGTCGAATTAATATCAAATTAATTTTTATTTTTATCAAATTAATATTAAAATTCATTTAATCAATTTTTTTGGGTACTAAATTATATCAATTTTTTTGTACTAAATCAGATCTTATTTTATTTTATTAAATTTTTAATTTTTTTGGGTACTAAAGTTGGAGAAAGACAATTATAAAAATAATAAAAAAATTTGAGATAAAATCATCACTTTCTGTTAGTAATATTGGCAGAAGAGAGATAGATAGGATCTCTGTGCAATAAATTTTAAACTTCAGGGATCTTTGTGTTATTTATAAAATATCAGCGGGTGTCCGCATAATATTGTCAAAATTCAAGGGAAATTCATATTTTTTACCCTATTTTTTAATTAGATATTAATTCATTATTATTTTATCTTAAAAACTTGAATTGTTATATTTTTAATAAAAGCAGTTATTGGTTAGGAAGGTTTGTTGATAGCTAAAAAATAAATGTGTGAGAGTATGTTTTTGTGTATATTTATATGTGGGGGATTGGACATTTGGTAATTAAATTTATAATTTTATTGTGTCATTTGGAATTGAATAGTGATAATGGTGATAAATTCATGAGTTTTACAAATAAGTAAGAATTGGTTGATTTTATTTATCGCGTAAAGATTATAAATTTAATTGTATTATGTTAGTATTTTTTTTTTTGCTTGAGATATTTATTACATGAGAATAGAGTAGATAGAAAAAATAGTAATTGAGTTTATAATTATATTTTATTATTAGATTGAGTGATGGTAAATGTAATAAATTCATGAGTCTCATAAATGAGCAAAATTTTATTTATTACTTAAAGATGGTAAATTTCAATGGATTATGTTAGTATTTGTTTTTTTTCAGAGGCATTTGTATATATGGTATTGTTTTGAAGACTTTTATATATTTTTACAACAGTTATGTTAATATGAAGGATATAATCAGTGATATATTCGAGTTATTCTAAAAGAAGAAATTGTTTGAATACTTTTAAGCCATTTTTTTTGAATTTAGACAATTGTGTAAGAATTTTTTGTTTGTTATATAGTGTTTTCAGGCACAAGTAATGACTAGTGAATCAATAAAGTCGATTTAAACCGCAATTTTAATCCCATTAACTTGTAATAATTTTTAGTTTTTTTTATTAGATTCGCTGGGAAAATTAGTTGTCTCCCACATACATAAATCACCACTCACCTCGGTGAAAAAAATAGTGAAGTTTCTGAAAAAGCGAACACCTATGTTTTTTTCTTTTTTGGGGATTAATAGTGTTTTTGGTCTTTTTATTAGTTTAGTCTTCAATGTATCAATTTTATTAATTTGGTCCCTAATGATTCATTTGGTAGGAAAGATGAAAAGTATGAATGATAGAAAGTAGGAGGGATACACTTTCTATTCTTCAAGTAAAAAAAGTATGAATGATAAACTTTTTTTCATTTGTGTTTGGTTGGATGAATGAAAAATAAAATGACTAATTTTTTATTTTTTTTTGCTGGCTAAGATTAGGGGTGACAATCGAGTCGTGTCAGATTCGTGTGGAGTCAGGTCATTTTCAAGTTCATGTCGAGATATAATCAATTTTGTGTCAAGATATGATCAAGTTTA